TACCTGCGCCGAGTTAGGATCTACACGATCGAAAAGGTAATCCTTCAGAGCTTTACCGCGCATTCTGCGCTGCTTTTCGTGAAAGATAGTCTCCCGAAGTCCCTGATTCTCATATCGAAGCAATTCGTTCTGAGATTGGAGACTTTCGAGAGTACTTTGAGCTTCCGACTGTCTCGGCTAGCGTTTTTGAGGATCCATCGACTACCTTGTCGACAAGTCGGCGCAAATCCCGAGCAGTGGGCTGCTGCAGGGCGAGCGAGTCAACGGAGCTGTCGCCAGACTCAGACTCATCTTCTGTTTTCTCCGCGATCTGCGACAAAACGACTTCAGGGTCAAATGGGAGGAGTCCGGTCCGTTTCAACCACTTGCGATGTTCTCCGCCGAGAAAGATGACCCGAATGCGTTCCAAAATAACGACCAGAACTCGCGTTTCGATAGCCCGATGAGTCCCTGTGTCTTTGCAGTCCACTGGATGAGCTGGTTGGTGTATGCGGTCGAAAGAGGGCCAAAGGACACATCAAGGGGCTGCAGCCTGTGCGTGGAATGCGGCGGAAACACGGCAACGATTATCCGATGCTGGTCACACCACTCCAGGAAGTCCATATTGACATGACTAGAGTGTCCGTCGGTAATCAGGAGGCGGTAATCCCGGCCGTTTCGCGCCTTTTCTTTCGTGAACCGGTCGAAAACACCAATGAGCCATTCCTTTCCAAGTTCATGGTTCGTCCAACCCGTTTCTGAGGTTGTGAAAACGCCGCTTGGTGCTCCGGATCAAACTCCGTGAGCCAGGAGTCCTGAACTTGCCCTGGCTTGCCTTGGTAGATGAGAAACGGGGGTAGCGCGGTCAGGTCTTGACAGACACATGCCAGGAACGTGATCCATGATCTGTTGCCATCCTGCGCAGCACCGATCAATTTTCCTTGCTTCTTGGCACGAACAGAGAATACTCTCTTGGTACGATTGATGACGCCGAGGAGAAAGCCCTTTTCGTCCACATTATACGTGTTGCAAGGCAGGATGTCGTATTTCTCGATTTTCTCGCCAATCTTGTACGATCAGCAATGAAGGGATGGACTTGGGCACCTACTTACAAGCTCATAGTAGGCTCTGTATCTAGAAGCATTGTCTGCTCTCTTTCTTGCGATATCAAAACCGTCGAACCAAGTGCAACCGAGCTCATCGCTGTTACGTCGGACGAAGCTATACGGCCAGTCCTTTCCGACCTCAATTTTGGCGATATCCTGGGCAAAACTTTTGATCATCGGCAGCGTAGGCGGAATCCCACGTGATGAAAGCTTGCGAATATACGCAACAAGATCCCTTTCTTGCTGTTTTGAGAGACGTGACTTATACAAACTGTCGGCATCCCGTCTTGACCTCTGTTTGCCTTGGTGTCGCCGTCGCAGGGTAGTCTCGTCGCAATTGAACTGACGCGCAGTCTTGGCATAGTTAACAGTGTCACACAGCTTCAGAAACTCAAGCGCTTCATCAATCGGGGCCATGGTGGTGGAGAAATTCAGGATTGAAGTGGAGACGTGAACTGGCGGTGAATCCGGCGAATCGCCCGATCCGGCAGATCACCGGGAAATCCCTTATGTAAGCCCAGGCGGAAGATAGTCGGGCCGCCCCCTGACCTGTACTCTCCTTTTCTATTGCATGTGGCAAACTGTCGCACAGAGAGCCAGCCTCATATAGCATACCATCTGCGCTCAGAGTAGTTGTCCGCGGAAGCGATGCTATAATCCGCATATTAAGGTCGAGCGCCTGCATGCGTGGTGCTTGGACCCCATTGAGGCCAAAGCTCAAACGCAGGCTGCATTAAACCTCGCAGGCGGCCTCGGTTACAAGGGTTCTGCACCACAAAGCAGGAGTTTCCTTTCCTTTGTGTATAAAGAGCTGCTCACTGTCGTGCACTACAGCTAGCTCTTCAGATAATTCCAATATGGGGCTTACTGAATTCCCTGACGATTGCCTTCCTCCTGAGGGCCAATTCGACTCGCGAGAGTCTCTTCTTGCCTCAATTAATGCGTGGGCGGCTCCAAGAGGCTATGCCTTCACCACAGGCAAGTCCACGAGACCCGCGGTCCGGAAGACGCACAGTCATATTTGCCTGCGATCGTGGAGGTAGACTTGGGGCTCATACAAGCAAGGACCAGAAGCCAGCTGATCGGCAACGGTCTACAAGCTCCCGTATCACTGGATGCCAGTTTTCCATCAATGCGAAAGAGAGCCTTGATAAGTCGTACTGGTATGTCAGGCATCGCCCAGGCGAGGAGAAGTCGGTCCACAACCATGAGCCCAGTCTGCATATTACAGCACATCCAGCTCATCGTGCCTCTCCTCAACTGACCAGTCAGCTATTGGGAACCTCTCAAGCGCTGGCATAGCACCAAAGGATATCCGGACATATATGCGCCAGAGCTCTCAGACTGCCCAAGGAGCGACACAGCAAGACATATATAACTGTATCGCACAGCGCAGACGAGAGCTCCTTGCTGGCCAGAGCACAATGCATGCCCTTGCCAATGAGCTTGACAACGAGGGGTTCCAGAGCCGCATACAGCTTGATCATGATGGCCGAGTCACAGCAGTCTTATTCGCACACCCAGCGTCTCTAGGATACCTCAACGCATACCCAGAATTACTACTGCTAGACTGCACATACAAGACGAACAAATATAAGATGCCACTGCTCGATATGATCGGCGTTGATGCCTGTCAGCGGTCATTATGTATTGCCTTTGCCTTCCTCAGTGGTGAAGACGAAAATGACTATATCTGGGCACTGGACCAACTCCAATCGATATACGAGTTATATGACATTCGCCAGCCATCGGTTATCCTGACAGATCGCTGCCTCGCCTGCATAAATGCAATTTCCCGGTGCTTTCCTGCGTCCAAGTCTCTGCTTTGCATCTGGCATGCGAATAAGGCGGTGCTTAGCTATTGCAAACCAGCTTTCGACCGTGACGATGAGGACTCTAATAGTGATGAGAGGTGGGCTGAGTTCTTTGGGTATTGGCACTCAATCGGGCTCGAAAGATGAGGAGACATTTGATCAACAAGTTGAAGAGCTCGAGAAGCGCTTTGTGCCACGATACGTCAAGGAGGTTAGCTACATACGGGAAACCTGGTTGGACCCGTATAAGGAAAAGCTCGTCAAGGCCTGGGTCGATCAATATGCTCACTTCGGCAATGTGGCTACTTCCCGGGTGGAAGGCATCCACGCATTATTGAAGAGTCACCTTAAGAAGTCAACATTAGACCTCTTCGAGGCAACGAGGGCAATCAAGCAAGCTCTCCTCAACCAACTGGCCGAGCTACAAGCCAACCAAGCCAGGCAGCATATACGGATGCCAATTGAGCTCTCTGGAACCGTATATAGCACGGTACGTGGCTGGGTATCACACGAAGCCTTGCGACAGGTTGCAAAGCAACACAAGCGCCTCAACGAGAAAAACACCCCATCTTGCACAGGCAGCTTCACCAAGTCTCGCGGTCTCCTTGTGCGCACGCATTACAGTCTCTCATAGTGGAAGATCTGCCCTCCGGCTACAACATTTTCATACACATTGGCGCCTTCGACGGGATAACAAAGAGATTGGTCAGGTCCTCATAGAGCCTCGTCGGCGACTAGACCAACTTGTCGCCGCATCAAGGATATCACAGTCATCCACACAGCGCGAGCCAAGTGCATTTGAAGCCATAGAGTCAGCTCTACGGCCAAAGGCGCCGCCTACATGCAGCAAATGCCACCAGCAAGGGCACATCATGACATCTCGCAATTGTCCTTTACGCTATAGCGACATACTGCAGCGGGCAGAGGCACGGGCGGCACAGAGCCACAGACTGCAGAGACTGCAGCAATTGCAGGGACTGCACAGACTGCACAGAATGTACAGACGGTAGCAGTTCCAGAGACTGCGCAGACTGCAGCAGTCATGGAGAAAATGACAGTTGCAGTCACTACGGTCTCTACAGTCTCTACAGCAATTGCAGAGACTACAGAGACTACAGAGACTACAGAGACTACAGAGAATCTATTATATGATGACCCACGAGCCATCTATCAGAGGTATGTCAGGGAAAGAGACTCTTGGTATAGAGCACAGCCTCGCGGCAGTCTCAAGACCAACCAGGTATACCGAAAGGCAATGGGCTTGCCATTGCCAGTGTGGTTTTCAATCTGGACCCTTGTCAATCCAATCAATCAATATCGCGGATTGAATTCAATTGAATTGACCACCAGATTGTCAATCCTAATCAATCCGCGTGGCGTTCCTCTGCTATCTCTCATTGGCTTGTGCGGGTTACTAGCCCCGTTATCCAGCCAATAAATCAAATTAGGGGGCGGCGCCTCAAACGGCGGATTATGGCGTCGCAAGGATTGACGGATTGAACTTCATTCAATCCGAGCGCCGGCAATCCCCATTATCGGCAAATGAGGATCGATAATTGCGCGCTCGTCTGGAAATTACGGTATCTCATTTTAATTAACTAGTTGTTCCGCCAAAAAAAATGGATTGTTAAATCGGTGGCGCCGCCATGGCAGTTGTGGCACCAACTGGATTGACAGGATTGACAATCTTACTGGCCAATTTAATCAATCCGTCAATATCGATTGATCAGGATTGACTGGATCGAAAACCACACTGGCCATTGCGCTACCATGCCCCACCCCCCTTTCGGTAACACCCACCTTTCGGTAGCGCATTAGAAAATATCCCCACCAAAAACCATCAATTTCACTTACACCGATTCCAGCCAGCTTTGAAGATATTCACAAGCCGTCACTTGGAGTAGATAGAGGATTGATTGAATTCTACTTTTCGATGGTTGAATGTTTGTACAGGGTCTGTGGCCTGTGCGTACCTTGCACGCGAAATTACCATCCAACCCCTAATCTCCTTCCGCCTCCTGACGATGATTCTTCTCGTTATTCCTCTACCACATGGCCAAAATGACCTTAAAGCGGCCTCAGTATTTATACGGAGGATACTATGGCTAATGCGATAATTGATGTCACAAAAAACGGCTTGTCGCAGTACCGCGCCGCCCAAAAGTATGACATACCTCAGCAGTCTATTTCCGACAGACTCAAAGGCCAGGTAGCCCTGGCTGATCAGATCCAGCCTCGTCAACTATTGAGTAAGTCTCAGGAAGCTCGCTTGGTTTCCTGGATCCTCCGCCAAGAGTCTCTCGGCTATGCTCCCTCCCACAGTCAGATCCGCGCATGTGTGGAGGCTCTTATGAAGCAACTGAACAACGACCGGACAGTGGGGCGCAACTGGGTCTCCAAATTCATCAATCGCCATCCGGACATCAAGAACAAGCGTGGGAGACGTCAGGAAGCTAACCGATTTAATGCTTTTACGCCTCGGGCGGTTCACTGGTTCTTCGATATCAGGGAAAAGGAGTATGGATGGATTAAACCAGAAAATACCGTGAATGTTGACGAAGGCGGTATTATGTCTGGCTTTGGTGAGTATTTGGCTTGTCTTTCATTACTTTTACTAACCAGACTCTTTTTGCCAGGTTTGGATAGTCTTGTGGTTGGGAGTGCAGACCCAAAACGGAAGGCCCTTCTGAAAGGGCCACAGTCCCGCAACTGGACCTCATTTATTGAAGCTATCACCGCGGACGGCCGTGCTCTTACCCCTGGCATTATTTTTAAGGGCAAAGAACTTCAGAAACAGTGGTTCTTGACGGAATTCGGCAAAATAGCCGACTGGCATTACATAACGTCGCCCAACGGGTGGACGGACAACCACATTGCTATTGAGTGGCTTGAGAGGGTCTATTTGCCTCAGACGCGGCCAGCCGATGCCTCAGACGCTAGACTGGTTATATTAGATGGACATGGAAGTCATGCAACGGTGCGTTCCTTTATCCACCTCGGTAGGAATGACTGTTAACCGGGACCAGGATGCATGGATGGCCACATGCTTTTTGAACAACGTTTATTGCTGTTACCTTCCTGCCCACTGCTCTCATGGCCTCCAGCCGTTAGATAACGGTGTATTCAATGCCTCCAAGGCAGCTTATCGGAAAGAACTTCAGAAATTAACCTGTTTGACCGATTCTGCGCCTGTTGATAAGGTCAATTTTATACGGGCATATGCTAAAGCGCGCGAGGTTGCAATGACCGCAAAGAATATATTGGCCGGCTGGAGGGTCACTGGGAATTGGCCGATCTCACGATTCAAGGCATTGCGGCATCCAGAAATTCACGCAGACATTGTAGAGACGTCTCCAAAGTCTGCGCCATTTTGGGTTCTGATGATACACCAAGAAACAGCCGCCAGATTCGCGATTTCGGAAAGAACAAGACTCCTGGCACCCGGAGACGATATGCCGTGATAGCTAGAGGCTTTGAAGCCCAAGAACAGACGCTTGCTGAGCACAGCAACAGAATCGCGAAGCTAGAGGAAGAAGTGGCCCGGCTGCAGAGAGGAGAGCAATTCCGAACCCGAACAGACGGTTCATGACTCTCAGTGAAGCTTTGGTGGCCGAGGACGCCATTCCCCAAATTAGAAGCCAAGAAATACCCGTTGTGCTGAATTCTGATACAGAGGAGGAGGAGGTCTCGGAGGTGGAGACAGCTTCAGTGATCGAAGTCAAGGTGGCACCCGAAGCCCTTCCAGTCACCACCAGATCCGGGCGAATGGTAAAAAAGCGCCGGTACATATAGGAGCGTCCATTTCTCTACAGAATGATATATTTTTGGTGTTTATAATGTTAAGTTCTGATCATATTTCATGTAGTTCAAATGGTAGACTTTTGGTGGAGAATTTTTCAATTGCGCTACCGAAAGGTGGGTGTTACCGAAAGGGGGGTGGGGCATGGTACAGCAAGACTGAATATGACTGGTGCCTCGACTGGAAGCAAATGTCAAGGAGCTGCGGCTCGAGGCAATGGACCAAGGTAGAGATGATGGCATACCTTGATTGGGATAAGGCAGAAGAAGAGCGATTAGATGCCCGGGTGGCCGAGGAAATTCAGGTGCAGCCTTTCTCACGAGAAAGAGGTACTGCAGGTATATGGGCTGACTGCGAGAGACTCAGAGGAACAGCAGGCATTTTATTCACATATATAAGTGGTGATGATGCCGGCGATGCGAAAATGTGAGGCAGATCGTGAGATCACCGACATGCACCGGCGTGTAGCACTGTAGCTGGCCAATTTTTGGCGGTGAACTTCCCGCGCACCTCTCTTGCCACGCAACAGCGGCGCCCTTTGCGTCACGTCAATCTACCAAATAGGAAGGCTATGGGTTCGAACCCTAAGGGATATCCTCCTTTGCAATTAATTGAAGCTATATGTATGCAGCAAGCATGCTGTATCGGTGAGGCCGACTGCGAGCGCAGTTGGCGGCGGCCCAAATGGCCTGCCAGGCTTAAGGGATTTTCCGATGATCTGCCGGATCTGGTGATCTGCCGGATTGCGGCGACTTCGCACGCTCAACATCAATCGACAATAGCTCAACAACAACGGTGCCAATTGACGTATCCTTTGATTTCCTGAATCATGAGAAGCAGTGAAAGTCTGGCATATATTTAGAACTTTTATCTAGGCGGCGATGCGCTGCGGTGCTGACATCAAACCAAGCAACGGCCAAAATAGGATGCCGACAGATTGTGTAAGTCATTTCAGCCAACACAGCAAAAACAGAACATTATTGGCTTTCATCGTAGGCTTTAATCATGTGGGATTATCCCCATTCTATCCATAGTGCAGAACTTGGCTCAGGATACTGCCAAAAATGGGGGTTGGAAGGGCGAGCTGGATAACTTCATTCTACGCACCCGTAATGAGCCAGATTGAACGTGATTCGACGGTACAAGCATCTTCTGAAAAGAACCTATCTATGCATCTGAATGTAAGGTTTATTTTTAGGGCCCAATTATCTATACACCTCCTTTTATTAACTGTACACCAAAAAGTGGATCAACTGTGGCTGGGTCAGGCGCAGTGCCGATGCCGCTAATTTTGGTGCGCCCATTCCCGGCCGGCCAGCTGGCCAGTTCGTGATGCTTGCGTAACAACATCCTGTAACCGTAACTATCAGCAATACCATCAAAACTGAAGCTATTCGCACCGCGTTTTCTGCCCTTACGAGCCCGAATCATGGAGTCGCTTACGAAGACACTATTCCCGACCTTCCAGGCCGCGATGGAAGCCGCCGATACCGTTGCTGAGGCTGAGGCTACGCCCTACACATTCGAACATCGAAGCGGGATAACGCTGGCCAACGCAAGTCTGCACTTGTTCGTTGTATCAAGGCCGGCCCCTACGAAAATCGGAAGGATAAAGCTGCTCATATCTCTCGTCGTCGCCTCAATACAGCAACCCAGAAAACAGACTGTGAATTTCGCCTCTCGTTGAAGGAAAAACGCGGTTACTGGACTATCTCTTATCTTCACGATGTTCACAATCATCGCCTTGTTGATGACCCGATGGTCTTTCCGAAGTACCGGGCGCTTGTTATCCAGAAGTATCGCGACGACATTATCCGGAAGTTTAATAACAATACCCGGCCGACCGATATTGCTGGCGAGCTTCGTGACCTGGTTCACGACGATCCTCGTTTAGCCGGTATCACGGCTCAAGACGTGAGTAACGCCTTGGCTAGGCACCGTCAGGAAGAACTAGCTGGCCGTACGCCTCTTCAGTTTCTCTACGACCGGCTAGATAAGTCCGACTTCTTTCATCGAGATAGTCGTGATCCCCAGGGCCGGCTAACTGGGCTATTTCTCGCGCCTCGTGCTACCTTCCATCGATGGCGTCAGCATCACGATGTCCTCGTCCTCGACTGTACCTACAAGACGAACCGATTCAATATGCCGTTATTGAATATCTGCGCGGCCACTCGAGATAACAAAACGTTCTCTATTGCCTCTATCTTCTTGAACGGCGAGACCGAGTCCCATTACTATTGGGCTATCTCGTTGCTGCTAGTCCTTTGCGAGAAGGAGTCGATCCCATTTCCAGGGTCACTGTCACGGACCGAGATACTGCGTTGCTTAAGGCGTTAGATAGCTTTCGCGAGCTTCAAAACAGTACTAACCTTCTCTGCACGTGGCATATTAACCAGAATGTCGTTGCGAAATGCAAGCAATTTTTCCTAAGGCATCAAAAATCGGCAATCGAGTCGTACGGGCCCCGGCATTCCAAGCGTTTCTACAAGAGTGGAACGAGATCGTCAAGTCACAAGATGTGAATAGCTTCAACGAACGTTTACGCCAATTTGAGACACCAGGCCGCCACCCGCTTGCAGCTATACAATACTGTTGCAATACGTGGCTAACGCCTTGGAAGGAGAAGTTTGTATCTTGTTTCGTTAATCAATATCGCCACTTCGGGCGTACAACGACCTCGATCGTCGAGGGACTTCACTCTCATATGAAGAAGTTCCTTTGGTCCTGTACGGGCGATTTGACGACCGTTTTCCAACGATTCGAACGCTTCTGGCAGACTTGCAAATAGATAAATCAAATCAAATCCGGGGTCCAATTTGATTTGATTTGGATAGCAAAATCATGGATCTGATTTGATTTGATTTGATTTGAATCGATTTGGATCTCATTTGGATATCTGGATAGCCCCACTTTTTTTCCACGACAAAATACATTGAGCCGCTCCTATACCTTAAGGTCCGCTTTGATAAGGTCCGCTTTGAGGCGGCCTCTCTGAGCTGCGGCCATCTGTCCGGCAAGGCTAAATATTCTCTCCGGCTCTGAAGACATCGCCGGAATGGAAAAGAGGTCGATTGCCATTCGCGACAGGCGTGGATATTGGCGTCTGCGGAGAAGCCAGTACTGGATGGGATTGTCCACAAGACAATCGCCCGGATCGGTACTGCCCACCCATTCTGCGTACTCGTCACGCATGGAGGACGGTGAGGGCGCAGGTTGGGCGCCAAGTTTCCTAATTGAGGTCATGAAGTCATCTAGGTCCGTTGTCTTCCTTGCAGCTGTGGGCTCCTCGGGTATCGTATCTTGCTCGACCGCGAGGGTTCGGTACTCCTCCCATATGCGCCATTGCAGCAGTCAAGTGCAGAGCTGTCCCATTTTGGCCATCGGCTACAAATATCTCCCCCCGTAATATGGCAGATGCACCCAAAGATATATTTCACGATCAAACGTGTCAGGTAAAACACAAAAGAAAGCTTGGTGACACGGCCTGGAAAAGCAACTGCCCGTAATTAGCGACCACTCTAGGCCAGGCAGGGCTGGCTCCCAAAACTATTGGCCCAGGTCGCCATTGTGGGGCGTATCCAAATAATCAGATATCCAAATAAATTTGGGTGTTGCGATTTGATTTGATTTGATTCAGCGCAGGGGCAATTTGATTTGATTTGATTTGGATTAATTTGATTTAATTTGATTTGATTTGATTATGATTTATCTATTTGCAAGTCTGGCTTCTGGGGCCATCAGGCTGCTCAGATCACAGCGATAGAGAATCGAAACCTCCACAAGATATCAACGTTCTCCCTACAGGCGCCGTATATGCCGATCCGCGAGCGAGTATCGTCATATGCGTTAAAGCTACTAATAGATGAGCATCGCAAGATCCTCTAGACCCCGAAGTCAACGGGCCAAACCGCCGCCAGGTCAATGTCCTTGTAATTGGGCTACTAGTCGAGGGCTACCGTGCTGCCATCGAATCTTCGAGTCTATCAACACCAATACCTCCCTTACACTCGACGACTTCGACCCATTTTGGTATATTCCGATCGATACAAGCGCTCAGGGCACAAGCCCTACTCGGGCACCATACGAGCCACAAGTTATCAGGGCTAAGGGCCGCCCCAAGGGCTCACTCAACCTCGAAGAGTCACGGCGGTCAAGATCAACGCGGCGGGATCCGTCACATCACGAGATCGCTGAACGGCATGAGCGGGCTGAGGCTATACGACTGCCTCCTCCTCAACGGCACCAGCGGCGATGACGGGTACGGTAACGGCCGCGATGACTTCAACGGAACGAGGGCTGCGGCACATCGAGGAAAACGGCGATACGTACGAGGCAGGCACACGGATGCAACGGGCGTATCAACAAGCCGGGCGTCAAACGCCAGTCTCTGATGATGACGATCAGCCGGTACGGCGGGAGACCCAAGACTGCATCTTCGTCGCTGGCCTCACGGACGATGCCGCCCTTGAGGATGTATGGGATCAATTGGAATCACAGTTAGATGAAGCGGATCAGGCACGTAGTGCACTCGAAGAAGGAGGCCTGTTGTAAACACCAAAGAATAGTCTCATCAGCATAGAAAGCGCAGTACGAATAGCTTCAATTTTGGGTGCCTTATCGTTGAAGGAGAACTGTTACTACCTGGCTCTACTTATCGTAGAGAATGTGTGCATACAAATTGGCGGTATCGGCCCTCTTCGGCCGTCAGCCACAGTTAATCCACTTTTTGGGTGTACAGTTAATGAAAGTGGGTGGATAGATAACTTGGGCCTATTTTTAGCTTGAAATTCAGTGCGCGAGGCTCCGCTTTCACACCTGACAAGGAAAGACGTGCACGAAAATTGAGAAATTCGACACCCTACCCTAAAACACGTATAACATGGATGAAATGGGCTTTCTATTCCTTATGAGCATTTGAACGAACAGGGTATTCCTCTTATTATAAAAAACAAGGCAAAATTGCTCGGCGTATTAAAAAATGGCAACCCATCCTCCATTACGTTCAAGATGTGCGTCAGTCAAGAGATGGCATCGCTGCCCCATTTCTCATCCACCAAGACAAGCCAGCACAAACTCTGGACTTTTGGTTCGTGAAACGTGAATCAAGTCGTCAATAAATATTTTTAACACGTCAAAAACGAGGTGGACGAATCACAATATTGAAATGAGCAGCTCACCGGTACGTTCGACCGGTTTACCAGGGCGAAAGCTCGAAACGGTTGTGCTTATCGCCTTTGGTTCCCGATGGCCACTTAACCATTTTAGTATCGAATTTATGGAGTGGTGTGACCGGCACCGACTGATCGTTGTGGTGTTTCCCCTCAATCCATTCATCGGCTGCAACCCTTGATGTATCGTTATTCAGCCTCTCTCAACAGCGTATACGCATGATCTTATCCAGTACACAGACAAATCAAAAAGTTTCATTGGATTGCTGAAATCGAAGATCTAGACTGTGTTTTGGAACGCTTTCCAGGAAGTAGTCGAGAAGTCCTCTGTTGATGCTGGCCGCAACAGCCGAAGGCTGAGCAGCACCCTCGGAGCCCTCAATATGAGTTTTAAGTGCTTGATATGAGAGTTAAAGTATGCAGAGAACAAGTAGTCACAAGAACCAGCGCAGGCAGACCGGTAAGGCTTCAAAGATGATCTCTTCTGCTGTACAGATTCTAGTGCAGACGAGGTGTTTAGCTCTAAAATTGTGGCTCAAGCTCGCCAAAAAATGACAGTGAAAGGACTCCAAAAGAAAGAGGAGGCTCTGAAGAAGGAGGCCCGAAAGCTTCAGCGACAGCAGAAGGCAGCGGAGCAAAAGCTCTCGCTCTAGAGAAGAGGAAGCAATGAGAGGCGGAAATTGGGAGAAAACGACGGATGACGGAGGCCGTGAAGCAAAATAAGGAGATAAATTGGCATTATTAACAAGAGCTGAAGATTTTGAAAGTGGAAAAGCCACAGAAAATGCAGAATGACCGACGGGTGGCTTCTGAGGGTCGCGAGAGGAGTCAGGATGTTCACGCTGCAAAAATTGTCACTCTTCCGTTCACACCAGAGCGGGCCATAGCATTGCAGGTACCAAACAGACTATATAATAACGCAAATAACAAGGCAATGATAACTTCAAACGACATATCCTGTCCTCAAAGGCCCTCTTTAGCTGTTGATAGTGATCGGGAGGCAATGGGTGCATTTCGGGGACTTGCGCGATCGGAGAGTAACAGAAGACGACCTCGATGGCTGGATGACTTCAAAAAAATTGAGTGACATCTTTGAGCATTATTAACTGCTCTTATAAAATTTTAGAACAATTCAAATAGTATTCGTGAAGTTATTCTCAGTTCTTTGCTGGAATGCAATGAGCCCAAAATCCGGCGAATCGCCAGATCCGGCAGATCACCGGAAAATCCCTTACATAACAGGCGCGGACGTCCGCGCCGACTTTAAAGGCGCGGGGGTCCGCGCCTCTATTGGCTCCCGGTGGTCCATTCTGGGTGTTGCAGTCGAAAGTGGAGGATCTGTAAATAGCTGAGTGTCGCGGCCCTCTAGGGTTGGTCCCTCCGGGCGGAATAAATTGCATTGCATTGCATTGGCTCCCGGTGGACTGGGGCGGCTGATGCAATGCAATTTATTCCGCCCGGAGGGACCAACCCTAGAGGGCCGCGACACTCAGCTATTTACAGATCCTCCACTTTCGACTGCAACACCCAGAAGCCCCACATTTTGCTCCTATCCGTACATTTCAGCCTCCATTTCGCCGTTGACAGGCCTGCTTGAAGGCCCATTTCTCCAAGTGTTCAGCATCCTATTCTCAGCAGCTGAAGCCCGGTCTGTCAATGAGAGGCTGTATGGTGCTAGTACTGTGCACTCTGGTTTGCCAGTACTGTCATCGTTGGTCCGTGTCTAGTCTCCCGGTTGCCATCGCGAATTTGATCGTAGCGCGTACTGCTGGTAGGTTCGGCTTCCATTTGTCGCCATCGGACATCGACTTCCCTCCTAGGAAGAAAGACAGATTTCCCATCTTGGTTCGATTGCATTTCATCATGCTTTCTCTTTCAGAGATCCATGCCTTACATCGAAAGAGGAAGTGCTCCACTGTCTCGATTGCTTGACCACAGCCACATAGGTCGCTTTCTGCCGCCTGTATTCCATGAAGGTAACTATTGAGTCTCGATTTGCCTGTGCGAAGTTGCGCAAGTACTCTCGCTTCTTTCCCACTAAGTGAGTCGTAGATCGTTCGCGTATGTCTGCCTGGTAACGCCGTGTCAATTCTTTTCGAGTATCTTCCCACTCGCAGGAATTTCCAGTCTTTGCTGTTGCAGTCCAGAGAGCACTAGTCTTGTTCTTGTCGAGCGGGCTTGAAATGGCGAGTTCTCCTGGATGCGCCCTCGCGTGTCGCTTTCCGCGCTGCTGCCTTTGCTTTTGCCCCAACGCAAACCCTTCAGCTCCTGCCGGGGCCCATATCATACGAATCGAAACACCCCGTTGCCGGAAGAGCCTGACATGCTTGTAAATTTCTTGGATGATGTATTGGCCCGACTGCTGGCGCGGTTGGCCAATCGCCTGCATGGCCGATCTGTTGCTTGTGACAAAGACTAGCTCTCTTTGCTCGAGTCGCGCTGGCATACATCGCAGAGCCGTGGCAATCGCCTCCAGCTCCGCGACATATGGGTTTTGATCTTCTCGCGGCCCCAGAGTGATGGAATAGCTCGCCAGTGCTTCTTGCTCGTTGTTGACTCTCGTATCTCGAACACAGCCTCCCATGCCGACTACGCCTCGCCTTTCGGATGAGCTCGTCGCGACGACAATGCCTTGCGCTTTCGCAACCAACTCAGCTGCCTGGTCATCATCGAGGTCACAGAGAACACGAATGCGGTCTTCCCACGGGGCCACCGCGTATTCTCTGATGACTTCCAATCTTTGACCTGCTGACTCTCCATGCTCTTGAGCCATCGTTTGCAGTGGGGACGTGAATCTTCGGCACACTCTGATGCCCAGCCGGGCGAGAGGATGCGCCCTCGGAGAGTACGAACGCTGATCCAAAACCTCGCCGCTGCTTGAGTGTGCCGATTTACCACCGGCCGAATGCTTGCCTCTGCTTCCGCGACTGCCGTCGACACGGTACGGAACGCTCCGGTCACCGCCTGCGCCCCTACCATCTGTGCTCGATTCAACCAGTAGCCCTCCCTCACTCCGCATGCATGAGCCCAGACAGTGGAGGCATAATCCATAGCAGGCGCAACCGCAGCCGTGAACAACTGCCTGGCCACCCGGGCGACAATCCACGCAGTCTTTTCAGCTGCATCGCGGTTTCCAGTCCCTTCGATGCCGCTCGTGCCATATGCTCCTTATATCGTAGTTTTGCATCCATGACCACTCCCAGCACCTTGGCGTTTTCCTGTGGCCAGATCGTTCTTCCTTTGATAACAAATGGACTTGAGCTAGAGCGCTCGGCCATTCGTGTAAAGTGAATGATGGTCGTCTTGTCGCCCTCGAACGTCGCCCCGCTCCGCTTTTCCCACTCTAGGCACGGTCGATGATGGACTGGATTCCGTCCCGGTTCGACTCTGCAGTCGAGCCTGTGACCCAAGCCGAGTAATCGTCCACGAATGCGATTGATCCTCCGGAGGTGCTGATTTTGGTCTGCACTAGGTCTGCGTTGAAGAAAAGAAAGAGAATCGGCGAAAGCGGCGATCCCTGGGGAAGACCTGCTTGTGGGAGCTCTTGCTGTGCGGTACAGTGTCCATTGACCGTGATGCTGGCCGTCCGCTCAGAGCAGAATGCGTCTACCCACCTGACCAGCTCGCGGGGCAAACCCCTCGCTGCGAGCCGTTGTAGAAGCCTATCCTTGAACACTCCGTTATAAGCACCCTTGACGTCGAAGTTCACAAGACTAAGCACCTTGCCCATTCGCCATGCTTTGTAGATTTTCTCTTGCAGGAGCACGAGAGCCTGCTCCGCGGAACGCCTCTTCCTGGCTCCAAAGTGGTTAGTTGGCAACAGCCCAAACGTTTCCACCGCAAAGGAAATCCGCTCGGCCATCACCGCCTCCAGGATCTTGCCCAGTGTCGACAGCAACGATATTGGTCGCCAGGCCCTCGCCGCAGTGTAATCATCTTTTCCCGGCTTCTTCAGTGGGATGATCTTTGCCATTCGCCATTGCTTCGGCAGGACTCCATGTTCCACTGATAGCCGGAACAGATGCACCACTCGCCCTCTGACCACCGGCCATAGCTGTCTCCAGACCATGGCTGGCAGGCCGTCGTCTCCAGGCGCCTTCCAGGGTTTGGCTGTCATGACTTTCCTTTCAATCTCCTCCATGGTCAGTTCTGGCATGGGCACCGGCGCCCGTTGCGGTCCTTCATGTTCAGGCTCGATAGCGTCCGGTAGTGGCGGAAAAAAAGGCACTGAGCAGCTCCTCCGCCTGTTCCTGCTTGTCTTTCGTCACCGTTCCATTTTCCCCTCTTCAACTGTGGTACCTTGTTGTCCCCACAGTCCATTCCCGCCTTGAGGTATTTAGCGGCCCTCCAAATGTTGCCGTCATCGGCCAGAAAGTCATCCCAATGCTGCCGTTTTTGTTTGCGAATGGCGTCATGGAATTCTTTCGCTGCTTCTTTCGCCCGCCTTTCCAGGTCCACCACTGGCTGTCCCACTCGCCTTCTTGACCTAGCTTGATTTCTCCAGAAGGTGTAGACCTGTCGCAGTCGGGTGAGGTCGGTCGTCCACCATCTCTTTGCATACGGGGATGGCTTCGCCCGTGGCGTCAGGTCATTGATCGCACTAAGCACTACTTCCATGAAGCGGTCGGTCTGGTCTTGTAAACTGCCGTCCCAAGATATTGGTCGCAGCTCCTGCTCGACCCTGTTCCTGATTGCTGTCCAGGGCGCGTTCCTAAGTAGAAGCCTCGGTGTGAGGTCTCTTTCTGGTAGGTCGATGTCAAAGGCTGTATGAATGGCCCGGTGGTCCGATCCATATTCCGCTGGGTGAATGGCGCATTTCACCATGTCGTCCGCCAGTTCCGTCGACACCAACATCAGATCAATCGTGCTTTCCTTATCTGGACCCTGCCAAGTCTTCGTGCCGCGGGGGAGCAGGCTGCAAAGGCCATGTTCGTTCATAAGGTCGATGATTGGTTGACCTCACCTTGTCTCCTGGACGTGACACAATCGCCTCCCAGAGTAGGTCGTGCCGATTGAAGTCCCCTGCCAACACCACATCGGTTCGCTTGCCAGTGCCGTTACGGAAACGGGTGATTAGACCGCCCAGTTCCGTCGTTGTGAGAATCAGGGCCTCCTCGTCCTTCCCTTGTACATACACCGACATCACCAAGACATCTCTATCTGGCAGATGCAGCACAGCCGCTGTCAGGTCTGACGACGGTATCGGGACCTGCTCCGAGTCGATGTCCTTCCGTATCCAAAGCATGCTCCTGACCGGCCATCCCGCCTCGTTGGTCTGCGTCGGAAGTATCCTTGACCAACTGCTATGGCCCATCGGGGCCGTCACGATCATCCCGTCCTTCTTGCGCGCGTAGGGCTCTGCAATCGCCAGCACCGCGCAGTCCTTCAATTCCTCGTCGTTCATAACACTGAGCTGTACCGTGTCTCGCTTGCGTACGTTAAGCTGGAAGATACCTAGCTTTCTATGCATGGCGTGGTGGGTTGCGCAATCGACAATTCTGGCTGAGCGACTCGTGCGGTCCTCCGCAGGGCACGCACTTTGGCTCCGCCGCAATGCACTCCCTATGGTGGTGCCCCGGCTTCGCGCATCTACCGCAGGTCTGCGGTTTCTTGCATGAGAAGGCCTTGTGACCGATTTCTTGGCAGTTGTAGCATTGCACTGGTCCTTTGCGCGGCTCGAAGACACTCGTGCACGCCGATTCCCCAGCCAGGTCAAAGTATTGGCCATCCAGTAGTTTCTTCGCATCGCTCCCCTTTGTAACGTAAACAGCCATTGACCCATACGCTTTTCCTATCTCTTTATTGCTCAACCACGAAATCTTGGCAATGGTGACGTTGTTCTCCACGCCAAGTGCCTCGGCTGCACCCGTCAAGACGTAGCCTTCTGCGTCCAACACTGCCGTGCGATTGGCATTGTCGACCTTGACTGGGTAGAGTTGATCCCTCATGACCCGCGCTCCTATGACCGCCGTCTTCTGCGCAGCGTCTTTGACTCTCTGAAGTTCTGTTTCATTCCTGCACATGATCTTAACACGTTCTGCGTTCCGCGCGTCTTTCACGACTGCCGCGCATCGCCACCCTTCATGACCCTCCTTCGCCCTCATCTCGGCCTCGACGGCTTGCCGGATTTCTCCCACCTGCGCTCTGCCTCTGTTCTGATCTTCGACTCGTGATAGGTCGATTGTGCAATAGAGCGTGTCGCTGAACGACGATGGTGTCATGCGCGTTGATGGGCTGCTCAGGTTCGTTGATATATTCGACGGCGTTATTCGGGCAACGTCCGCATACGAGGCTTGAGGGCTGTTCCTCTCCGAGTTCGTTGCGGCATTGAACGCTTCAAGCTGCTCCCGAATCTGTCTCAGGTCCTTCTTCGTATTTTGGAGTTCCTCTCGCAACTCCTTGTTCTCGCGATCAGACTCTCTGCGTGATTCCTTGACTTGAGACTGGAGCTCTCGGATCAGGCTCTCCTGGGCACGGATGGTGTCGCTCTGTTCGTGTATCGCATCCTTCAATCTTCCCATTTCACCTCCCATTCTCCCCAACACCTCCAGCACCTCTGAGCATCGCCTTGCCGGTCTCGCCATTGCTGCGAGCCTTCTTCTCTTCGATTACGCGTTCAATTTCGGTTTCGGCTGGCGATATCCGCGTCGCTCGAGTCGCCGGTCTTTTTGACGTCTTCGATGTCGCGTTTTCGAGCGATCGAAGTGTGTCTTGGACCCTTCCGCTGGGCGTCACTCCACGCGTCGACCGCGTCGGCGATGCTGACGGGCTACCCAACCCCACCGCGACCTGGCCTGCGCTACCCCCCGCCATGGCGTATGGGCCGAACCCACCACCACGAACTAAAAGCCGGGATAAAAGTCTTTACAAAAAAGGAGACCTCAATTGAGATCTCAAAGTCCCAGGATATCAATGGTCGGTCAGCTCTGTCGTTCGTCGGGGCGGCTGATACACTGGCGCCCGGGCGCCATTTTAGAATTGGCGCCCGGGGCGCGTTTTCTGACTAAGCCCCAAAACCGTGTCCCCTAATAGCACACATGTGCAACGCAAGCTTCGTTTATACCTATGCTCGTTCAGCAATTCGGCCATACCAAAAAAAGGACATTATTACAATTTGACTACGATACACTGTTCTACCGAGTTGGTAGTCGTATGCAAGGCTTGCTGCTTCCTGCTGTCCCGTTCAATGCTCTCCCAGATGTCTTTCACACCTCTTCTCTTATTTGCCAGGGGATTGTTACCCATCTCCTTGGCGACCTGGGTTTCAACGCGTTCATCCTCGGCTTTACTCCAGTCCAGATACGCCATCCTCTCTTCCTTCGTCCATTCCCTTGATCCTGTTGAAGTGACGCAGCGCTTGGACATTTGTTTGTAGTCCAAACACCATTCATAGCTCTGTTTGTCATACCTGAGTACAAGCCCCATCGCCCTGCGATATTTCTGGTTGGTCTTGATGCTGCCGGCGGCTGCGCTGCGTACCATGCGTTCCTTGCGGCAACATATCTGCCGTAGATGGCTTCTGGGGAGTCGTAACTCGGCGGTGATAAGAGAGGGTCGTGCAAAACCGGTGGCTCAGGAACCAGAGACTCTTCGCCTGCTGAGATTTGTATAGCTCCAGCTGGGAAATCCGGGATGACAGAGGGGAAGGGAGCAATAGGTGAGTCTGGTGGACTGGGGGAGGTAAATGTGGCGTGTGAACCAGCAGAAGAGGGCCGAATGGCTTCTCCAGGGCATTGGATAGCATTGGTGAAAGGTATCTCTCGTGACACCGACGCACTCTCTGTTGGATCAGCCGGAACAGAAACTGTGGTTAGTCCAGGATTTGCATCTAGCTGCGGGACAGGATCCAAGACCTGTGCTGCCTTAAACCTTAGCGGGCAGTCCCTTGAGGTCATAATATGGCCAACCGTGTGGCATCTGCTGCATTTACTGGGAGCTCTCCTGCTAGCCTCGACTATCTCAAATCCGGAGGATCCTCGTCTAGTGCTCGTCGTCGGTTGACCGTGTCTCACATTAAGGTGTTTTGAGGCTCGTCTTGGTTCCAGGACAGGCCGTGGCTGGACTATATCACGCTTCAAGTGCCAATGAGGGTGAAAATGCTCCAGCAAAAGGTTTCGCTTTTCTTCCTCTAGTCTCTTTAGCGTGTGTGAGCATGGCAGCCCATGTGAGGATGTAAAAGTCAAAGTGCAAGGAGCTTTTTGTGACCCTTGGAGCAATTGCCGCTGCTCTTGAACCTTGCGTAAAGCATGGTGCGAAACCCAGCCCCGCACTGCCTCGAACATCACCCCGGAGACGTCGAGGGGCGTCCGCAGTTGCTGAGACACTCGAATATAATTGAGTTCCTTCAGTTGGTTCGTGATGGCGTGTTTCATTGCTTGCCAGACGTCGAAGAGGTCGAATGTAGAGGTCTTGATATGTGACTTTAAAATACTTCGAACACCCGTTAAGTTGCCAATGCAAGGGGCTTAACGGCTGAATATCCAGCCCGAAGGGTGAACATCGTATACCTGCAATTCAACTTTCCTAGGGGGGGACCCCCTAGAACCCCCCTTTCGCCTGCAGCGGCCATCCAGCCGTTTAAACCGCTCCTTGACTGGCCCAATCTAACTATATACCTATATCGAACCTCCCCCTTCCCTGTAGCTTATAGGAAGACGTCGTTTAGTCAAGGTAGAGTGGTGGATACGGTGCATCGCTCAGCTGTTGACCCTGACGCCGTTGTTGGTCAGCGAGGCGCATCTTCATCCCTGCCTTAGCCTTTGTAGTTAGCCGTAAACGCAGCACGTAGGGACAGGCTTATAAACCTTCCGTCGGCGTGTGGTTATAGAGGCTCTGACGATCGAAAGGCGCCTCAAGGAGTAAGCCTTGCAGCGACGTAACCCGTGACACAGCAACATAGCTAATACCGGCCTGGAAGTCGCGTGTAGCGAGATCAGTAACTATTTGATCCTTAGTTAGGCTCTGGCATTTGTGAACAGTGATAGCAAACGCCACCATCAGGGGAAACTGCGTGCGAGCGCAGGTCTCGTTGCCCACTAGGAAATCACGCCTGACTGGGAGGATGGGTGAGATTTTCCTGCCCTCGTTAGTTGTTAGATATGGCGGTCCGTCGTAGCTATCAAAGTCCACCATAATAACGGCCGGGGGATCTTCCAATGGCTCGGCGCCTGCGTTCCAGGCGATATCGTATACAGTACCCTGAGCACCGTTAACTAGGCCAGCTGGCTGCCATAGGTTAGTAGTGAGCATTACCCTGGCGCCCTTAGCAACAGGGAACTTGTTAGATAGATTGCCAGCATTGTCGCTTGGTGCCTGCCCCGCGCCCTTGCCCTGATTCTTTGCCTCCACCTGTACTGCCGGGAATTCTAGGAGCTTGTGGAAGAATGTGGTGTTTAGGGCTCTGATAAGATCTCTGCTACTGAGGCTAGATTAATCTACTCAAGCACGCACGATGGAAATCTCCACGTTTTCCACTCCTTGTCCAAGCATGGTCTACGGATCCTGGCACTTGTCAAGACCAGGACGCTCATTCACGGTTACTGCCTAGTAGGCAGTCACGACTAGTGTCCAAAGCCCAAGATCCGTTTTGAGACAGTCTAGCCTGCAGTCGCCCGCAGATAGGTAATATGCTAGACAAGCTGTTTCTTCGATAGTAGTAACTAATTTACAGGCGCACGTGCCCGGCAATTAGTTCCACATAAGTTGTTGAGGTTAGCTCTACCGGTAGATGCGTGACCAGTAGCGGCAACAATGGCTGCCAGTCACCAATCTCATCGTCCTCGAATTCTCTGCCAAGTCATCCTTCTAGGTGCTTTTTGCGCATTGTTGCGAGAAAGAGACATTCTCAATATCACTGTCGTCCACATCTGGATGAATTCAGGCTGGTGCCCTCTCGACTAGCGAGGTTCAGTGTACCGATTGTGGCCAATAATTGTGACCGCTCGCAGCCCCAGTCTGGGGCAGTGATCTTATTGGATTGGATTGGAGCTGGATCGAGCCTCGCTCCAATCCAGTCTAGAGACAAACGGGATCCAACTGTAAAACGAAGGCGAGCTTCGTGTCATTTCTGTGGCGGGAACCCCGCCATGACGACCACATTTAGGCTTATGTTACTCCGTACATGCCAACCCGTGGCATGTCCCACTTTATTTACGGTGGGTGCGAGCTCGCGAGGTTAGTTGAACAGGGACGTCCTGGCCGAGCTCCGCACCCACACGTCTTTGCACGTTCATAGCCAATTTGCTCGTCATCCTCCGTAAAGGAGGGGATGAATTTGATCTGTCACCAGTACCGACCAAAAACTGTGAGATTGTTAGAGATTTAATGGTGTTGCACCAAAAGAGACTCATACCCCAATATGGCCTACCTATCTGCTGCCTGCCGTAGCCGACGACGAAAGGTGTGCACAGGTAGTGAAAGGGGGCTTATAGCATGATGTGTCACATGCGTGAAGATCAATGTACTTGAAGCAGGTGGGGCTGGAGATTCTACGTCAAAAGACAAGACATATCTTGAGGAGCTATTGACTTCAAAATCTGAGTGTCCATCGAAGACATCGAGCATTTAAACGACTCAAACCCCGACAAAAGTTGCAGCTATCGCACGGAGGATGAGCAAGTGGGCATAAAGATCAGGGACTGGAAGACTCTTGATTCTGCTATCTAAGGTGGGAAAGAGGCGAGATCTTTATAGACTGCCTGAATATGAGAATGGAAGGGAATGGTAGTGAATGGAAGCATCTGATCGGATCATCTGGAAGCCACTGATGCGTTGATGATGCCTCCTAGAAGTTTCTGTGGGGAAATGTGGAAACGGACTGTGCGAATAGGGGGTCAGACTGTTGGAGGCTGATATCCTATGTGTGACAGACCGTTATTGGTGTACCCGACCCAGCCCTTAACTAGGGATTCGGGTAGGAATTGCTGGAAAAGTAACAGCGGCGTTGGTGGCAGCTGTTGGGGCTGTGGCTCGCGCTCAGGGACGTGAAAAGGACGAATTCGGGGCCCCGTTCGCTCGGGGTCAAATTGGGGGCGGACTGTGCTGTCAATTGGCTGCTCGCGCTGACAGTGGTCGAGCCGCACATATAGGGTCTGTTCGAAGCTATTCACAGCAGGAATAGCTGCCTGCGAAGCTTGTGGATCTTGTTGCGAAGCCATAGAGCTTAATTTGAATGCGCTGCTAGCAAAATTGACTGGTGAAGGTTTTGCTGATGCTGCTAGCCCCTGACATGTAGCTACGTATTGTGGGTCTCGTGACCTAGGGGAGGTCTTCGGGCACCCAAAGGGATACATCAGGCAACATATATACACATCCTACTATCAGACTTGTCGTGACCCGAACGATTCGATTAAGACGTGGTACCTAAACTTAAGGATCAAGCCCAAGGCTCCAGGCAAGAAATCATAGAAATCTTCAAAGTACCATAACGCGGTTATGGTAACAAACAAGCCCACGCACAGCTTATGAAAACAGGACGAAGCAGGTCCTGTCAATCATCTGTTAAGGCCGGCCCAGCCCACAAGGGCGAATGTCCACCACTTAGATGCAGCATCTCTGGCCGCTTCGGCAGGGGCGAGGGTTGTCA